ACTATCCTGTTTCTCGGTAGACATTGACATAGATGAGCAAGCTGATCCTTTGAATTATGTGGATGCTATGAGCACACATGAATCAGAACAATGGCTAGAAGCCATGAAAAGGGAGCTTGACTTAATAGAGAGAAACAATGTATGTGAGCTATGTGACTTACCAGAAGATAGGAAGTCCATAGGATGTAAATGGGTGTTAAAGAAGAAATATCGGGTTGATGGGTCTATTGATACATTTAAAGCCCGTTTAGTTGCTAAAGGCTTTACTCCGAAGGCAGGTATAGATTATCAGGAGACTTACTCTCTGGTGGCTAAGTTTGCTTCTATAAGAATTATCTTAGCAATTGTTGCACATCTTGACTTGTAACTTTTCCAAATGGATGTCAAGACTGCATTCCTCAACGGAGAGTTGAAGGAAGTAATATATATGAATCAACCTGAGGGATTTCAGGTTGAAGGACAAGAAAACAAAGTATATAAATTGAAGAAATCTTTATATGGTTTAAAACAATCATCTAGACAGTGATATCTCAAATTTCACAATACTGTTATCCAACTTGGTTTTGTTGCAAATAAATTGGATAACGGTGTATATGTCTTGAAGAGTGGCAATAGTTTTATAATATTATCCTTGTATGTGGATGATATTTTGCTGGCTGGAAATAACATAGATGTGCTGAACAGAATCAAGTCAGCACTTAGTAGTGAATTTGAGATGAAGGACGTGGGAGATACATCCTATGTTCTTGGTATACAGATCCTTAGGGATAGAAAGTCTAGAATGTTAAGTTTAAACCAAGAAAGATATTTGCATACAATACTTAGAAGGTTTGGGATGCAGAATTGTAACCCTGCACCAACACCTTGATTTGGTTATGGGAAAATGGTTGTGTAAAGAACAATGTCCTGGAGAAGAGCAAAACCGCTTGATGTCCTGTATGCACAAGCTGTTGGAAGCTTGATGTATGCAATGTTGTGTAGTAGACCAGGCCTGGCATATCCGGTGAGTTTGGTTAGTAGATATCAAAGTAATTCTGGTCCAGCACATTGGGAGGTTGTTAAGAGGATTTTGAAGTACCTGAAAGGTACTGTGCACCATAAGATATCAAGCAGTCTCGCTTGAGATTCTTGGTTACTCCGATGCTGATTTCGGAGGAGACAAAGATAACGGGAAGTCCACTTCCGGATATTTGTTCATCTTTGGTGGTGCAACTGTTTCTTGGGGTAGTAAGAAACAGGGATGTGTGGCAAGATACACACAAGAAGCTGAGTACATAGCCTGTAATATGGCCACTACTCATGCAATCTGGATAAGATGATTCCTAAAGGACTTGGATCTCAATTTGGTAGATGGACCAATTGAGATATACTGTGATAATCAAGCAGCCATCAGGTTGATCAACAATGGTGCAAACAGTTCTAAAGGAAAATATATTGAGATACAATATCATTATATTCGTGATATTGTGGAAAAAGAATAAGTCAGTGTTACTTATATTCCTACTAGTGACATGATTGCTGATCCCTTGATGAAGGGTATTCCAGCAGGTACATTCATCAAACATGTTGGTTTGATGGGGCTTAGAAATGTCTAAGTCAAGGAAACTTTCATGAAAAATAAAAGGTGACGATCATGGATAATGGTTGTACTTAGCTTATTCACGTAGAGTGAAAATATGCATATATCTCACGGATAGTGGGAGTATGAAATTACATCTTGAGCTTATTCACGTAGAGTGAAAATATGCATATATCTCACGGATAGTGGGAGTATGAAATTACATCTTGAGTCACATCTCACGGATTCACGGATAGTGGGAGTATGAAATTACATCTTGAGTCACATCTCACGGATAGTGGGAGTGTGTGCTTGGGAAGTATTTGGCCATTTCGGCCAAGTGGGAGATGTAAGTGGGTTTGGTCTCAAGGGCCAAATTGTTACCCGACCTGGTTGTTGGTTCTGAGATTTCTTCCGTTGGGGATCGAACGAGTCTTACGGAGAGAAGAACGTGGGATATCTAGAGAAATCTGGGCGGTTATTTGGGGACGGAGGGGGGATGGAACGCCCATATATAGAGAGGAATTCCTCTCCTCTGATAACAAAACAAGTCTCCATTCCGAAGTCCCCAAAACCATCAGCGATCTTTCCCCTTCGGGGATATCAAATATGTATCTTTCTGAATGGCTAATTTGAGCATACTTCTCTTTGATGACAAAGCAAGTGACCATCGCTTGGTGGTTGTCACCTAACATTTTTTCGCTGAATAAACCATCACCACATTAAGCAAGGATGGAGAAGTCTCTTTTTGGGCACTAGGGGCATTTCGTCACTCTGGGGGTCACGCGGTAGAGGCTTTTGGCTTCTAGTTGCTCCGATAGGATATTTTTTTCTCGCTGCAATATATTTATACAGAATCTGGATTCCAATCCTCTCAATCTCCCAAACTCTTATTAACTATTTTTTTTTTTGACAAATTTGTTGTTCTAAGCACTGGCATCACACCAGCATTAAAGTTGGGCTCAAGCCCACTGTTGTTTTCAACAACTTGCGAGTTCCAACTAGCGGGTTGCATTTCGGATACCGGGCTGGACAACATAGCAATTGAAGATGGGCCTTTCAGGCCCAAGAAATTTAATTACTTAATCCAAGACTTTTTAGTGTTTCATCATCACATAATGAAAAAAAAAAACTCACGTAAAGAAATTAGAGTCACATAACACGGTTTGTATTGCCAAAGGATTCAAGCCATCCGATTGTTTGCGCGCATGCCAACAATTCATAGAATGAATGGACTTATATGTATGACGTCCAAATTCCATAAATATTATCCAAATCTTTGGCATTGCGATCATGTTTCTCCTTCACACGGTAATACTAAGCCTACCTAAAAATAGATCTACTGACCAATATTGGCTTGTTAAGGCGAAACTTCATCTTCTCAGAATGGAGATATATGATTTTAATATTCTTATATTTCTGAGAAATAACATAAAAGTTTGTAATCTGACATTTAAACAGATGCTACGAGAACTTATTGGGATACTGAGACGAATAATGCCAACTCGACTAGTAAAGGCAGGCGTCATGAATCATGATCTAAGCATCGCAAATCTTATCAAAGTATTAGATGAGGCTTAAATGCTCATACGGTACTTTTGTGCTCTTGCTAAACATGGTGATTGCTCACATTGTATTTCAGCCTGAGGTATGAAAATAGTTCTGATAGTAGGGATGTTAAATGGGTGGGTTTGGGTATTAAATGAGCGGGTTATAAATAGGCGAGCATGTTTTACACATTTGCCAATTTATGATACATTTAACATTTTTTAAATGGACGGGTTTTTACCCGTCCATTTAAGAGCATCTCCAACCATACCCTCCAAATTTGACCCTCCAAATTAGAATATTCTAGGAATATTCCAATTTGGAGGGTGAAATTTGGAGGGTTGCTCCAACCCACTCTCCAAATATTTTTCTTTTTATTTTTTTTGTCAAAAAAACCATATAAATTAAATAATGTTGGATATAATTTACGTTAATAATTTTATTGTTAATAATTTATTTGGGAAAAAAATTATAACATTATAAAGGTGTCGATAAGAGCTTTAAAATGAACCCAATATTAATACCGCAATACAATATATTAAAAAAGAAGAAATTCTGAAATAACAGTGAAAGCATACATCGATAGAACAAGAAAGCAAATATTAACCTCTAATACAACATACCATAGGTCGCAAACATAAACCTCAAACATAAAATATGATAAGAGACAATTAAAATTCTGACAAATCATTATCGTTATAACTACCAGTTTCATCCTGATCTCTCGAAGAACCACCATATTCATTTCTTCCTACAGAACCAGCTTCGCCCGCAAATTGAGAAAATCCTCCTTGATTTCCCGTGGGAAATTCATATTCGTAATTTATGCTTGTATTTTTTTATGGAGCAAGTTAAATAGATCCCCGTATTTAAAATTTCATGTCTGATACTTATTTATTTAATTTAAAAATTAATAATTTTATAATAATACTAAAATAAATTAATCTTAGTTTCATTTTAAAGATCTCAACGAGCCCTTTCCAAATATATAATGATTTCAAATATTAGATTAATAATTTTTTAACTATATTTATTTAAAATTAAACATCTAATTTAAATTACTAAGAAAGATGGCAAAGTGGTAATTTTTAAGAAACCAAATAGTTAAAAATGGCATAATTATAATTAAAAAATCATGAATAGTGTTATGAAGAGACCCTCCATTTTTTCTCCCCACCCTCCAAATTTGGAGATTTTGAAGATATGGAGGGTGGTTGAGATGATCTAATAAACGGGTCATCCATTTACCCATTTAACTATAGTAGTTATGTATATAATACTTTTGGGGTGTTTTTTATAAATTTTTAGGGGGTTTTTTTGCAAACTTTTTGGAGGCTTTTCGCAAACTTTCTAATCCTTTTCGCAAACTTTTTGAGCATTTTTTTGCAAACTTTTTTGGGGGTTTTTTACAACCTTTCGAGGGTTTTTTTGTTCAAACTTTCTAGGAGTTTTTTTTTGCCCAAATAGAATCCTTCGAGAATTAGAAACTAGAAATGAAATTCTTATTCAACAAATGAGTCGAAAGAATTCTATTAGCAAATATACATATGATGTAATACATAATATATTAGACTCTGTGTAACATATATGTTTACAGTAAGGAACAAAAATATAGAGTTTAATCCAAACTTCAAGAGCTAAAACAAACAATTGCCACTCATGACCCGGTGCTAGGCTTGTGATAAAAATAAAATACTAACAAAGGTAAGAACATAAACAAAGATGAACAAACAAAGGCAAACATGTTGATAACTGAACCATTTACAAGCTTGGATAAAAGTACAAACCTCACACATTTGCAAAATTAACCTCAGATTTCCAAACCAAAAACTAAAAGATCAATAACAACAAAATTACGAGAATATTTAAATGAATCAAGATAGAAAACACAAGCTACGTAAGGATCTGTATAAGATCAATAACATGATTCTCTTTTCAAAGAAACTGTACTTGCCTGTCAACAAAAACGCATTTTAAAAAAAAGTTTTCTCTAAGGCCTCAAAGCGTATACAATGTAAAAACTGTGCCTCCTGTAGAATATAAGTTTTTTTTAAAAAAAAGTGGGAGAAGGAAAGATCGTCTATCATTAAAAAGTGACTGATCTCCTCCCTTCCATGATTTTACAGAGAGCTATGCTTGATCTGAAACAAATTAGCGTTCTTCCCTACAACCGTGCCTAGAGTTTAGGAGCACTGTACCTTTTGCAAGTCAGCTATTCTTTCTGTGGTGTTAAACTCGGATAGATCTCGTTTCCTTCATCCTGTGTCACTTGGCAGAGTTAGTGTTCAGTATCATCGCTTTGAAGAATGATCATAAGCAGGATTTACTAGTGAAGATTCAGTCATCCGTTTGCCTTCTGACTCTAAAGGCTCGAGCATGTGAACACTGTCATCAGTTAATCCTAATGCAAACTGATATGGTTTAGATGGATGGTTGCAACGACAGCTGAGCGCACATGGGAGCTGTAAACAAACAAAAGATTTCTAAGTTTCAGAAGTCATAGATGAACATGGAAAGTAATGCAGGCTCTGTTTCAATCTAGAGGTAAGATTGCAGCAGTATATGATTTACGCATGCTAGGGGGAAAGGGAAAAGGTAAGCTTTTGCAATATCATGGCAACATACTATAAGGGTTCATGAATTTGATAGTAAAGGGAGTTTCACTGTGAGATGCCAGTAGCATGCTCTTTAGGATTATTGCAGATGCGCCCGCTTTTTGTTCTATTAACTCACACAACCTCTAGTCACATGATGACTTGTTTTCCCCTTTAGTTTTTTAACATCCTCTGAAATCATAGAATAAGACTTCTTTTACCATGAACATGTCCACAAGGTAAGATTAAAAACTAATTGGTAACTAACAACATCATGGGTTAGGAGGTGCATGAGCTGATAAAATAGGATGGATGACAAGTCTATACCCCTGGGTGCATCTACTAATGATCCTCCTTTTAAAAATACAAACATTAGAATGCAACCCCACTTCACAAACAGTAATATTATATGTCATCCATATCTCTGTTGATTCAAATAGGCTCTTGGCCTAATTCGACACCTCAATCTAAGTGTTGAAGTAAATACAGCCACACTTCCGTTTGTGAAACTTGCATCATATCATTTGGCTATCACAAGAATATGCTGCATGGGCGATTAATTCCCCTCGTGGAAACTGTAGGGATTTTTAGATTTCATAAAACCCCCCAAAAAACCACCAAACGCAGCAAATAAAATCACACAAGATTTAACGTGAAAAACCCTCAACAGGGAAAACCACGGGATCAAAATCAATCCACTATCACCTTCAAATTATAATCTTTTGCACGGATAAAGACTGCCAAACCCTCTCTCTCTACACTTCTTTTTTCTTCTCCTTTTTTTCCTCTAACAATAGAAGGATATATATAGAGAAACCAAAACCATATCTCTAGTCTAACTTCCTAATTAGAATAAGATTCAAACTCCCAATCATGATGGAACCCAAAATCCTAATCATGATAGATCTCTAACATTATCTAATTCTCATGAAGTTATACAAAGAATTAAAAACTCTATCCTAACTTGGAGTTTGAGTATATACAAAGAATTAAAAACTCTATCCTAACTTGGAGTTTGAGTAGATACCCAACATATCCTCCCTCGACGAAAAATCTCCAAGTAAAACTCTATCCTAACTTGGAGTTTGAGTAGATACCCAACATATCCTCCCTCGACGAAAAATCTCCAAGTATCTCAACGACTTCAGAAAAACTCTCTTTTTCTTTTTCTTCACCTCCCTTGTGGACAAGAGTCTGAGAAGAACAATCTACACCATTAACGGATCGCACATCTAAATAGCAAATATGATTGCTATTCTTCCTCCCTCGCAAAATCAAATCACCATCTCTATACACATTGCACCACTCTCCTTCACCCACATACTTGTACCCACGTGATGTCATCTCACCTAACGAAATTAAATTAGCACCACATGTCGGCACAATATCTCACATGATAGAAAAATTCCGACCTTCCCAGTGTGAAGCTTGAGGCGAACACTTCCAATACCTTCAACCTTCATCTTCTCGTCGTTTCCAACAATCACGTCGTCAAATTCTTCATCTGTCTTCAATGTGTTAAAATAATTTTTGTTGTTGCAAACATGCATAGAGACTGCATAATCTAACACCCAAGTGTTACTCGCATCAGTACTTGTACTCTGCATCAATAAAACCACATCTTCATCACACACAACCACTGAGGAGTCCGTCTTCTTCCCATTTTCTTGAAGCTTCATCTGTCTAATACTCTTCAAATCATCACGCATCTGGGAACATCTGAACTGAATGTGACCATTCTCTCCGCAATAATAGCACTCCTTTTCGCTGTCGTCTCGGGCCCGAGATTTTGACATTCCTCGATAACTATCACATCTCCCCGTACTCCTCCCTCGATTAGAACCTTCAAGAGCTAGTGCACTCTCACCACCATTAGATACGCTCTCCTTTCCTATCATTCTTTCATTCTCACGTAGGAGTGCTGTCACATCGTCGAACTTCAAAGTCTGCTTCCCTACAATTATCGTTTGAACTAACGGTTTGTACGACTTCGGCATGGAAGACAATAGGAATAGCGCCTGCTCTTCTTCTTTAATCTCCTCATCAATATTCATAAGTTGACAAACTAACTGATTAAAAGCATTGATGTGGTCTTGAATTGTAGTACATTCTTCCATCTTTAACGAATAAAACTCCATCCTCAAACACAATCGGTTGGTCATCGACTTCGATACATAAATCCCCTCGAGCCTTTCCCACAGCTCACTTGGTGTGGTCTCTTGCATAACATTGTACTTGATCTCGAGGGCGAGTGACAAACGAATTGTGCTAACCGCCCTCTTTTGCATGGAATTCCATTCAGCATCCTTCAATCATTTAGGTTTCTTCTCCTTCAAAGCTTGATCAATACCCTGCTGCACAAGAATATCTTGAACCGTGCACTGCCATACTCCAAAATTTGTCTTGCCATTAAATAGCGGAATATCAAACTTTGGATCCGAAGAAGTCATCATCCTCTAACCACGATAAAAATTAAAATCAGTCCCTGTAGTGATTGAATTTGATAAAACTGACGAAAAAACGAACTCAGCACGTCGAAAAACCCTAAGAATGACTCCTGGATCACCGAAATCCGCCTTCAAATCCTCGATCAAAAGACAAATCAACCTCAATCGTCAGGTCTATCACCGCTACAGCACCGCCGTTACAGTACCGTGAACAGTGCGTCACCGTGAACAGTTCCTCCGCTACAGTGCCGCGGTGAACAGTGCTGCTGCTACAGTTCTGTTGCCACCAATGTCGTTGCAAATCTCGAATCTCCACAAATCGCCGAGCCCCGTTCTGATACCACTTGTAGGAATTTTTAGATCTCGTAAAACCCCCCCAAAAAACCACAAAAAGCAACAAATAAAATCACACAAGATTTAACGTGGAAAAGCCTCAACAGGGAAAAACCACGGGATCAAAATCAATCTACTATCACCTCCAAATTATAATCTTTTGCACGAATAAAGACTGCCAAACCCCCCCTCTCTCTCTACACTTCTTTTTTTTTCTCCTTTTTTCCTCTAACAATAGAAGGATATATATAAAGAAACCAAAACCCTATCTCTAGTCTAATTTTCTAATTAGAATAAAATTCAAACTCCCAATCATGATGAAACCCAAACTCCTAATCATGATAGATCTCTAACCTTATGTAATTCTCATAAAGTTATACAAAGAATTAAAAACTCCATCCTAACTTGGAGTTTGAGTAGATACCCAACAGAAACCACTATGAAAAGAGTAGAATTATAATACAACGAAATTTGATGAAAATGACCAAAGTGCTATAGAAATAATAAACAGTTCATGTTACAGATTTAAAATGAAATTTGATGAAAATGACCGAAGTGCTATAAAAATAAATAAACAGTTCATGTTACAAATAAGATGTTATAACACACCATACAATGTATAGATTTCCTTGGACCTGCAATATACACAATTCTGGCAAGTGATTACAGAATACAGTAGTGTCATAAACTAATAATAATCCCATTAATATAACAGTCTCTGAGCATTCATGGATTATGAATGTTTAATATAATGCGATTAATATTAACTTCGAAAGCGTGGTTAGATGACCAAACTACTCATTCCCTCCCCATTCAGTAAGCATTCAGGCTAAAAACCTAGAACATATACCCTCTTCAGTAAGCATTCAGCCTGTGTCTCAATGAAGTTATTGAACTACAATGGCACAATGAGCTATCATTCAAATAATTTTGGTTAGCAGTGAATTATAAAGTATAAATTACATTAAAAAATCTAAATTCCTGCCATTTCCCATTACAACAAAGCTACTAAACAATAGCAGCTAATTAGTAAAACTTTTTTAAAAAGGATCTACTAGAAATTAGAAAATAAAGCCCATATCAATTGAAAAAATTAAAACCGTAGAAACTAAATCAAAATATGGAATAATTGTAATTTAAAAAAAAAATCCTAGAATATAAATTACCTTCTCTTGATCTGAGGATTGGGGATCAAAGATAAGAGGAGATCGAAGGGCAGGAGAAGAGATCTAGGTCGAGAAGGAGAGAAGATCAGAGGCGAGAGGTGATCAAAGGTAGAGCTCGAGAGAGAGAGGAGATTAGAGGCCGGAGGTCGAGGTCGAGCTCTAGGGGAGAGGAGGAGGTCGGAAGCTAGAGGTCGAGGTCGAGGTCGAGCTAGAGATGAAGAGAGAAAATCGTGATTTTTGAGATCGAGTCGTTTCTGAAGGGTGAAGAGTGAAGGCGAAGGGTTTGATGGAGCCGGGTTTTGGTTTTGGGAGTATGGGTGGGCAAACGGGTGAATATAGACCGCCCATTTAGCACCCATTTAGTTTGGTTTGAGAGGGACTAGCCCGATTAGACCCATTTAACTAAATGGGTGGGTTTTGGGCGGGCCAAGTGATGGGTGGGTCAGGTGGGCAAATGGGTATGGGCAAAATCTGCCTTCCCTATCTGATAGGATCAAATTAAAAGTTGAAACCATAGAGTAAAACATTGAGAAACCTTCTGAATGAAAAACATATAATCAAGACGTTCATATTACTGCAAAGCCTGGAAAGCATGAATTTAGGAGAAAAACGAATATCATGAAAAGCTAAAAGAGATGCACAAAATGGTTCTTATCCACACGATGAAGCTTGAGGAGGTGCTCAAGTTGAATGACAACTGCTGCCTCTGCAGTTCTTGCAGCTCGCTTCTGATTGGCCTCACCATTTGCTCATTTCTTCTTCGCTATTCTCCTTGTTGCAGATAGATTTGCTCGCCAGTTTTTCCTCAGCCCAGGACTTCATTCTCTCAGCTTTCACCTAAATGAAAGACACGTATCAATAACATTGCTAGAGTTTTCCAGTAATGTAATTCAGCACAAAGTAACAACATCTCATACCATATCAACACCTAATTTCAATTTGTACACTTTTATAATCTATACATTTAAACAGTCTACAAACTCCTCAGCAGTTGAAGAGCCATCTGATACATGCCCCCATTAACTGAAGTATAAACAATCCATACATTGATCAAATTTTTAAACCCATCAGTCATGATAACCCATGATTTCAGGTGACTGGCTCAACTCTTTGATCTTAAAGTATCTGATATGATTTCCTCGTGCACAAATCATAGCCTTGAAATGGATTTACTAGTTTTGCAAAGCTTTTATTGGCGTATACTAATCCGATCATTTTCCACTCCAAATGAGGTGTATCGATCAGTACATATTATGCATATTATTCACCTTTGCGATTTTCTCATCAAAATGGAGGCATTTACTAAAAGGACAAAATGCATTGATTATGGCTTCTTCTGATAACTGGTAAAATTGCAATTGTCTCTACATTGCAGCTACTCAGCAAAATTTTGCAGTATCTACAGTGCAGGTGTGGGTTTTCTCCAGCATAGGAATAGCATTAGATTCCCTTATGTGATCAGAGTGAAAACAGCCTAGTGGAATATTGTATCAAAATATGAGGACATTCCCTCCCCCACTCAATTACAATTAGTGTGAAATTGTCTAGCTTGGGTTTCTTAACGGATGAAGCAACTAATTTTAAGATAATATTGATGATCATAGACAATCTGAAAGAACCCTCCGTCTCTCTCTGTACAATATGGACTAGCCTGAGCCGGAAATAAACCATATAAGCCCAAGTCCAGGCCTGCTTTGGGCCAGAACATGCCCAACAACAAATAAGAGCAAAAGGGATATATATAAAGGTGTTCAGATATGCCAGATTGCCACTTTGATTATTCTCTAATTACTAAAAATTAACTAAGCTAACCTAGCTGTTGACCTATGCCTCGGGCGTATTAGGCAATATTGTGCATTTATGATGGCAACGTTCAATTGACACATATGCATCAATCGATATTCATAATTGACAATCAAATGTGTGCATGTTGCCCTGATGGCTTACTGATAATGTATGGCCGACCACAAGAAGGTTATATGCATATACACACATGAAGCACGGAAAACTAAAGACTGATTCACATCAAGCAATGCAGAAACAAGAATTGAACTGATTAAGTCATGCAAATGAACACACAGTTTAATCGGGTCATGATCATATATATAAGCTACTACTAGTCAATGACTTAAACCAATCCTCTCCAGTCTCCACAGTGATCAATATTATTAGGTGGCAATCAAATGCGAAAAATAAGAAGTTTGTATGCCCATACATGAAGCAAGAAAAGTTACAAATCAAGATTCATATAAAAGGTTGAGATACACCAAAGATGATTTTAAAAAAAAAAGACCCCCATCAACGAATTTGGAACAAGCACGAACATTCAGTTTAAATTAGCGATGATCAAAACCTCGTGCTGCTCAAGAACTTAAAACAATCCTCCCTTCTGATCAAGAACTGGCAATAGAACGCACAAAAAGAATTTTGCATGCACAAATATGCAGCAAGTAAACCACAGATTAGCATTCACACACATCAAAGATTTGTCACAAGAAAACACTTGCAAGATAACGCCGTCTCGTGATCAATCCCTCCTAGTCCTTTTAAAATCCCTACCGCCCTCTTGAGAGCTACTGCTCTCTTCTTCACTGTCTTCTTGCTCATCTTCCCCAACAATCTGGGGCATGCCTTCTCTACCCTCTTCTATAGTGAATTCCGAAGGATTCAGCTGGGGGAACACGTAAGGTACCGTGTCAAATCGCGGTTGAGGAATCTGTGCCCATTCATACAGCTCCCAGTAGCTTATATCTCCCTAGGACTAAGACTGTCACTGCTCACCTCCCATAAAATGGATCGATTTCCTACCTAAAGCGGCACATCTCTTTTGAATCTCAGAAGCATCAGTGGTGCACTGGTGGCATTACTTCATCATTCACATTCAAAAACCTGACGGTGGACAAATCAATGCACCCGTATAGCCACCACTTTGGCGTATCTGTTTCGGTTTTAGGATCAAGAACAAAATCAAGAATGTAAATAAAGACTCCGCTACCTGCTGACATAAGCAATCCAATATCCTTTTCATTTAATTGACCTAGTTGCATGTTCTCATATTCGTGAGAATATTGATTGACCTAGGTCGATCCTCCTTCGTCTTGAACGCGATACAGTATCAAATTGGATAACCGAGAACTCCGATCGTCAGTGAGCCAATAAGCAACGTCAGTGGCCGATATCACCAACCCTTCTTTGGAACCATTGATCCGCTCTCGAGTAGTACCAGTCAAACGTATATTCCCCTCTTTCTTCTTCAAAGGCGCAGATAATGTCGAACGCAAGAAACCTCACCATCTGAACTGAAAGGACTGCTGCTGCTCTATAGCAGTTTCTGTGGGATCTTGGTGGGTCGGGGATGAGCCTGCAGCCAGACTAATCATCGCTGAAGGGGTTGCACACTTCAGTGAGAGATATTCAGGTCGAAGGGAGAGAGATATTCAGGTCGAAGAAAGAAAATATATAAACTCCTTTCAAGAAACAGAGAGACATGAAGAACCAGAAAGAGATCAAAGAAACCGTACCATGGATTCCCCCATTTCTGTTCTTGATGACCGGACGTCTGAAGAAACAACTGGAGATGAAGAAACAACAAGCTCTGCGACCACCATGTCTACTGACGTTTCTGAGGCTCCCACGGACCCATCTCCCTCCCCTCTTGCAGGCATCTTCTTCAAGGACTCCTCCACCGGCAATGAAGGCTACATCTACAACATTTTCAGCACGGATCCTCCCGACCCCCATCTCCTGAACCCTCCTTCGACCTGAATCTCTCTCCCTTCGTCGTTCGGTTCTCCTCCAAATTAAGGTCGCCTCCTCTGCTACTAATACTACACTACGAGAGAGAAAAATGTCGGGTCCGTTCTCATCAATTTTTAAAATTGTGAAAGACATCAACACAAGGTAAGAAAGAGGTTGAGCACAATCTCGGTATCTAGCAATTTCCTTGGAACTCTAATCTTTCATAATATCTTCACTAGCTAACTTGCATAAGATTATCGCGATTTTCTCCATTTCCTCACATTAAGTTGCAGATACTTTGAGACTGTTAAATTGGAATGACTTTTGTAACTCCTAGAATACTCCCTCACAATATTAACACACTGGTTTATATTTTATTAAATTGGAATGACTTTTGTAACTCCTAGAATACTCCCTCACAATATTAACACACTGGTTTATATTTTACTTTTCTTTCTAAAAGTTAAAATGTCCTAGAATACTCCCTCACAATATTAACACACTGGTTTATATTTTACTTTTCTTTCTAAAAGTTAAAATATAGTAACACGTGTAAAAAAACAACACATTAAAGAAGATTCTATCTAAAAATTAACATGTAGAAGTCAATTGGTATGCCAACCCACAAAAAAAGAAGTCTATCGATATGTTCATTAAGGATCAAACGCTATCCAAGATAATGACGTTTTCGTAAAGTTCTGGTGATTTTCATTAATTTAAAAAGTACATGATATTTTTTAGTAGGAAAACTGAGAACAAGTTAACGATAACTATTTCTGCAATTCGTATTTATAGAATAGACAAAAAAAGTAGAAAAAACATTAACAATAAAATTAGCCTAAAGTAACGAGCATACTCCATTTATTATCAATTGTTTTTGCATTCATCTTGCAAATTCATCTGCAAGTGTGGCTTGATGCGCTCTCATCTCTTACAAAACAGAGAATAAACAACGAGGTTGGTATAAACATCGGCTGAAGCCAGACTTATTGGTATCAATGAAAGATTGGGATTGAATTGTAAAAGATCCCAAAATGTAGCAAAGAAGTGGGAAAAGAAAAGAAAATATCATAATCATTTATATATAGCTAGTCAACGTTATATGACAAACTCTTGAAGCAAAAAAAATTTGCCTCTCCCCACCTATGTTCACTAGTTACCTCTACCTAATAATAGGAATAAACAATTCAGAAATTTTTATTGCATAAAAAGAAGTGACTTGTGTAATTGAACCAAAGAAGAAAAACAACAAGCATTCAGAAAAAGTTTTAGCCAAAAGCTAAAGTTTCGAGTATTGTTTTGGGGAGATTTTTTTTTCCTTGGCGTGCTATGGTGACGGTTCACAAAGAGTGTTTGTTGGAGGGAGTGGAGAAATCAACAAAAGCTAAAGTTTTAGCCAATTGATGCTCGTGCGCAACATAAGTGAGATTTTGCAACATCAGGTGAATTTTCTATTAGAAATTGTACAAGACTCGTAGTCAACAATCGATGGTAGGGGGAGTTGTCACCTCCATTGTGAAGGCATTATCTATGGAGCAAATGTTGACCTCGAAACCGGTGAGCCGAACCTCATCCGGAGCTAGGAAACCGATTCAGGTCTGATCTAGTTGACTTTGGGCCCGACTAGACCAACCAAATACGTAACATGAAGGGAATTATTGATCTCTAAATCATGTACATGGTGGCGTCTGGTCTTAATCATATCCAATTGCATTGCCTTACATGTATTTGCATTAAAGAGCAGATATACAAAATACAACTAGATCCTAACAAGGTGAAGGGCACATCATCCGTGCCATCACCGGAGGGTTTCCCATTTCATAATCTCTATCCATGCAGCTCAGTATACAAGTACATAGGTGTACACGTGACAGATGACAGGTCTAAATGAGATAGCAGAGGAGGCGACCTTAATTTGGAGGAGAAACGAACGACGAAGGGAGAGAGATTCAGGTCGAAGGAGGGTTCAGGAGATGGGGGTCGGGAGGATCCGTGCTGATAATGTTGTAGATGTAGCCTTCATCGTCGGTGGAGGAGTCCTTGAAGAAGATGCCTGCAAGAGGGGAGGGAGATGGTTCCGTGAGAGCCTCAAAAACGTCAGTAGACATGGTGATCACAGAGCTTGTTGTTTCTTCATCTCCAGTTGTTTCTTCAGACGTCTGGTCATCAAGAACAGAAATGGGGGAATCCATGGTACGATTTCTTTGATCTCTTTCTGGTTCTTCATGTCTCTCTATTTCTTGAAAGGAGTTTATATATTTTCTTTCTTCAACCTGAATATCTCCCTCCCTTCGACCTGAATATCTCTCGCTGAAGTGTGCAACCCCTTCAGCGATGATCAGTCTGGCTGCAGGCTCATCCCCGACCCACCAAGATCCCACAGAAACTGCTATAGAGCAGCAGGAGTCCTTTCAGTTCAGACGGTGGGGTTTCTTGCTTTCGACATTATCTGCGCCTTTGAAGAAGAAAGAGGGGAATATACGTTTGACTGGTACTACTCGAGAGTGGATCAATGGTTCCAAAGAAGAAGGGTTGGTGATATCGGCCGCTGACGTTGCTTATTGGCTCACTGACGATCGGAGTTCTTGGTTATCCAATTTGATACTGTATCACGTTCAACACGAAGGAGGATTGACCTAGGTCAATCAATATTCTCACGAATATGAGAACATGCAACTAGGTCAATTAAATGAAAAGGATATTGGATTGCTTATGTCAGCAGGTAGCGGAATTTTTATTTACATTCTTGATTTTGTTCTTGATCCTAAAACTGAAACAAATACGTCAAAGTGGTGGCTATACGGGCGCATTGATTTGTCCACCGTCAGGTTTTTGAATGTGAATGATGAAGTAATGCCACTAGTGCACCGCCGATGCTTCTGAGATTCAAAAGAGATGTGCCGCTTTGGATAGGAAATCGATCCATTTTATGGGAGATGAGCAGTAGCAATCTTAATCCTATGGAGGATATAAGCTACTGGGAGCTGTATGAATAGGCACAGATTCCTCAACCGTGATTTGACACGGTACCTTACGTGTTCCCCCAGCTGAATCCTTCGGAATTCACTATAAAAGAGGGTAGGGAATGCATGCCCCAAATTGTTGGGGAAGATGAGCAAGAAGATAGTGAAGAAGAGAGCAGTAGCTCTCAAGAGGGCGGTAGGGATTTTAAAAGGACTAGGAGGGATTGATCACGAAGCGGCGCTATCTTGCATGTAAGTGTTGTGACAAATCTTTGATGTGTGTGAATGCTAATCTGTGATTTACTTGCTGCATATTTGTGCATGTAAAATTCTTTTTGTGCATTCTATTGCCAGTTCTTGATCAGAAGGGAGGATTGTTTTAAGTTCTTGAGCAGCAGGAGGTTTTGATCATTGCCAATTTAAACTGAATGTTCGTGCTTGTTCCAAATTCGTTGATGGGGTTTTTTTTTTAAAGCATCTTTGGTGTATCTCATCTTTGGTGTATTGACTCTAATTCTCTTGACACTTTCGTGTTGATAATTTTGTAAATGTTGGAAGATGTCAATTAAGATACTAGTTTAGGAACAAGTTCTTAATCCTCATCAACTGTGATTGGCTGCAGGGATTTGCTGCCTGTATGTTCTCATGTGCGCCTGGTGAGCATGATCCTTTGGTCTTGTTTATGATAATTAATGGGAAGTTTGGTTTTGTCATATCTAGCATTGCATACAAATTGTGAAAGTTGTTAAAAATTTCTCCCTTCCTCTTTTGCTTTATTATGGCAAATTCTCATGAGTGCTACTATTGATGCTAAGCGGTTCTCTCAGTACTTTGGTGGTTGTCCTATTATTCAGGTCCCAAGATTTACCCACCCGGTAAGAACCGGAACGTTCTTCTGAAATACTTATTTATGCTCGAACAAACTTATGTTATTTAAGAGTTGAATGTTATTTCGGCATATGTAGAAAAAGTCTATTAATTGGTTAGAACCGAATAAACCGAGCCGAACCGAACCGACTAGCAACAGTTCGGTTCAGTTTTGAATAATGAGCGGTTCGATTCGGTTGTTCAAAGGAGGAGAAGTGGACTAGGGCAACCCAAACCTCAGAACCGGCCCTGAGTATACATACTTGATCTCACTTTTTCAAGGTGATTAAATTATGCACATATTAATTGTCAGTAACCTACTATGGGAATAACCTCGACACGTACAGGGTGAATGAGTAGACTACTGTTACCTAACAGGCTAAATTGAGTAATACAATTTCAGGGCCGTACCTAGGAATTTTGGGGCCCAAGGAGAAATGTTAGATGAAGCCTAGGTCATACAACTCATAATAGATTTTATCTCATTATTCTTACCTTTTGAGCTGGAAAATTACTAATTAAAGTTTTATATTCAATATTTTCTAACATATTATTTTTGATAGATAGTATTGCTAAACCATTCAATCTTTCTTGTAACATGATCGATCTTAAATGTATATGATATATCTACAATATCTCTAATTAAGCATAAAATTAATATGAATAAATGATAAAGAAAATTAAAAAGCTTTCGTTAGAAAGATAGAACCAAGACTCGGAGGCGGTGAGCCTGCAAGAGAAGCGGCCAAGCGGGATCGGAGATGCGGTGGGAGAGGACTGAAACAGAGATTCGGAGAGAAGCGACCAAAAGTCTGAAGGAAAATATGTGGAAATTAGAAGAGGTTCAATTCTTCTCCAAGCGGGAATAAATCTGTGATCTAGAGGCATGATAACCATTAATCTCTCTATATATATACACAATTAATTTCAAAGAAGAAGTGCACAATTTGTGAAGGCACATTAACCAAAAATACCCATAAAATTAAAACAAACAAAAATAAAAAACAAAAAGGAGTAAGTTCCAAGTTTAACGTGACTGGTTCACATGACATTAAATGAAAGCCACACAGATGTCTTCTTCTCACTCTTCTTTCATTAAACCCCTCTGAAGTAACTAGGATAGCAAAGCTCTCAACTTTGATCTCCATTTGAGATTTCTAAGCCCTTGATTTCAAATTTTTAATCTTTTATTATCTGGGTTTGATCAATTTTCTCAATTTCTGCCATGAATTTTCAAAGCTTGACTGTCAAGAACGGTTCTTGGTTTAAAGAAAGGGGCGTTGGGAGCTGGAACAATGGGATCTTTCATCAAGGATTGAAGTGCAATTCTAGGAAATGTGCGGGTTTGAGAGGAAATTTTGAGAACATGAAGTGCAAAAGTGGAGTTGCACTCTCTGTTCTTACCTCAGATGTTACCCAGGATACTGACTGTAGTAACTAGTAAGTGACTTCCTTAAGAAAAGATTTGATCTTTTTCCCTTTCTTTTGGAATCTAAAGGAAACAAAGTTGGCTTCTATAGAACTGAACCCTAAACCCCGTGTCTACGCCCAAATCATCTGTTTCAGTTCGTTGCAGTCCAGATTTCAACCAACTGAACCCTAAACCCCGTGTCTACGCCCAAATCATCTGTTTCAGTTCGTTGCAGTCCAGATTTCAACCCTAATTTCAACAATAATTATTTCAGTTCGTTGCAGTCCAGATTTCAACCCTAATTTCAACAATAATTAGGAAATCACTCAAATTACGACTTTCCTAAAGCCAGGCCAGGATCAAAAATTCAAAATCGAGACATCAAACCCATTTTTCTCTAATTTAAAGTAACAGATCTGTTGAAAAAAATAGAATACAACCCATTTTCTATCTAAACATTTAAAACCCATATCAGAAATCAAAATCTCAGACAGTTACATGCAAAAATAAATCATGGGTTTTGGAAAAAATCGAAGGAGTTACCAGAAAAATCTATCCTTTTTTATCCAGAGAGGCTGGCCGTTGGGCGGCGGTGCCGCGGGAGCGGAGGTGTGGCTAGCGGCGGGAGCAGGAAGAGGCGAAGAGCTGGGGGAGACCGGAGCGGAGAGTCGGGAGAGTTTATCAGTTTAATCACTTGATGTTTGAGACCGAGGTCGGGACTGAGTTTAATCACTTTGATCTTGATGTTTGAGAGAGGAGGAGGTGGGAGGGAGTGGGAGTTTGGGAGAAAGAGAGAGAGAGAAATAGGGTTAGGGTTTAAGCTGAGGGACTTCAAAGAATTGAGTGTGGGTGGGCTTTACCCGAGATGAGGCCCAAGGCAGATAGAAAAGTCACGCGCACGACGCATCTCGCATTTGAGTAAAAAAATGATTATTTCTTCAAAATGAGCTTCAATTCAGCCGAAAAGGAGCGCGTGCACTCTGACCGGTTACCTACTAATGGGTTGGACTGAAAACGTAGGTTAGGTTAGCAATTAATAAAACAATTAATGGGCAAAACAGAAATTATCCAATAAATCAAAAGTAAGGGGGGAAATAAATAATTCGCTAGAGGAAGGGCTTGAACCTTCGACCTTGTGGTTAACAGCCACACGCTCTAACCAACTGAGCTACTCCAGCTTATCTGATTGGTTATGAACGCATTTTATTGTTTCATTCTTGACTAAGCATTTTCGGCTAGCATAACATTTTACCATTGAGTGCAACATCCAATTTTGAGAATTATATATTTAATTCAGCGATACATTCCTTTACCGATGGAGTAGTGTTATATATAGAACTTGCATACCACGCTACTGATTTCAATAACCAGTTCTTGCTTGAGCATCTCCTCAAAGTCAACGGTCCTCATCGGCAACTCATGTAGATGGGTGGCAACTATGATACTCTTGAAGAAGCTAAAGAAAGAAGAAAACGGGAAAGAAAAACAAACAACTTAAGTAAATAACTACAGAAGGAAAAAAAAAATCCCCAAGGTTTATGAGGGAAGTTAAAAAAAAACCTCTCTCGGTCAGACACAAAACCCAGAAGAAATTGTGCCGCCGCTGCCAGCCCACTGAGCCGATGCTACCTCGTCCTTCCTCGCACTATTCTTGTCATCATACATGTTGTAATCAGCCTCGAAAACCCGAGGTTTGAAATTTGAAGGAGAAACAGGATGTATAGAGAGAAAGAGGGTTGAAGAGAATGAAGGTGTGAGTTTGTAAGTAGATTTGATGATGTTGAAGACCCTGTAACAATTTGCTTGGAAAGGTTTTTTTTAACATATTTTTAACACACACCTTCCTTCTTCCTCATAAAATCCGAACCTAGAACATAATTAATCAGAGACTTAGCACATAATTAATCAGAGACTTAGCACATAATTAATCAGAGACTTGATTATGATTATGATACAAAATAGAATCATACCACGTCATGCCGAACAACCTCCTCAGCTGCCTTCTTCTCTTCCTGTACACTACATCCATCTGTATTATCCCCTTCTCTGCTCTATTGGAAACCACCAGCCCACTCTTCCTCTCACGAGCCTGGTCCCATCTCCTAAATGAGGAGCCCTTGATTATGATTATGATGTCGGTTCATCTCAGTACCCACATCCCTCAAACAGACCAATTAACCTCCACCAGTTTGGTCATCCTTTAGTGATCCCTTACAGTCAATCTTCTTCGTTTGACCTGGCCCCTTCATCTTTTTACATTACTAGTAGACAATTCCTTATATTCAACTAAGCCTATACTTGCGCGAATGTGGGCACTGCGAGTAGACCCTCTCAGCCTCAATGGGATACCAAATTACTGTAGCATAAACAGTAAATGAAACGCCAGGTTACTATTTATGCTGCAATACTTAGTGTATCATGAACAGTAAAACAAATCAAATGTAATAAAACTTGGATCTTTCTTTAAGTACAGAGGAGTAGATATGATTTCTAAATTAAATGTATTAAACTTGGATCCTTCTTTAAGTATGGAGGAGTAGATATGATTTCTGATTTTAAGCCATACAATAATTAAATCAAATGTATTAAAACTTAGAGGAAGACACGTTCAAAATGCAGTGCTTGGGGGGTGGGGTGGGGGGGGGCTGCTTTGCACGTGGTGCACACTAGTATGGAACAACTCTACAGGTTATTTATTTTATACCAACAAATATTAAAACTCACCGGCCGGAGTGAGAAAAGAACCTCTCTTAGAAATTCACACATAAGCTGCAACTTAGCTTTTCT